CAAAAAAAGAACACGAGTAGACCCATGTTGGCAGCCATTGCAAACAAATTTATTGGGAGCTGTGTGATTTTGTAATGAGTGTAATAAATATAACGGAGAGTAAAATAAACGGGGCATGTTAAAACTAAATACAGTAGGTCATTGTTTCACTTTCGAAGAAGACTGTTCACTTTCGAAGACCAGCAGTTGTCTTATGAAGACATGGCCGCAATAAGACACTCTTCCTCTGAACAACGATTCAAGGGGTGGAAAGGGCACCGTCTGCATTGTCAGGAACCCATTGAAACAAGGAGCATGATGTTCCGAAGATCAAGGAATTGGACATGACATTACTCGATGCCGACCAAGTAGATTCTCGCCTGTACAGTTCCTGTTCATGCGAATGCAATTTAAACCAATGAGGGAGTTTCGCTTCTATAAGTACATATTGTACATGTACATGTATTTATACGTTACATTATATATGCATGTATTTTATTCTCACCCCAAGGCCTCCGATAGCGAGGCTCAGTCAGTTCCATTTCGCTTCGGGGAAATCATCAGAGGCGACTTGACTTCACGCGGAGAAGAGCCATCGTGTTGTAACGTACACCTCAAAGAACACGTGCGGTTGGAGCTGCCTGGCTATGAAGCTTAAACTAACGATGATAATGTAATCAGTCTGTAATAAATTTAAGATGTATTTTCATATGATTGGAGTTCGTTGGGCTTCACGCTGCATTTGTAATGTGTTCACTCGGCTTTAATATCGGCGAGAGTCTCCGACTCTAGATCAGAAACTAAACCCAAATACCTGCGTTTGGGTGTTGTTGTCATATAGGGCATGGTACTCCCCGTGATTCAAAAAAACGATGGCAGAATTTCTGGTTTTGTAAACTGGCAAGTTGGGACGGTGGACATTGTTTTAGGCGGACACTCATAGGCGGGCTTCGAATCGCCCCTGATTTTTTTTATGAGAGATAGGCCTGGTCAAAGTTTTGGCCCAGTTCATTTCCCTAGAAAGCGTGTAACCCCCATGTAACTTCACCGCCCTCCGAAAAGCCGTAAAAAGGTTCCATGAAAAAATTCCCTGTCTGGATCAAAAGAACATATTGGGGTCGGAAATGAGCAGGGGGAAACATGTAACCAGGTTCGACCCGGACTTTTGTTCGACGTTTTGACTTGGAAAAGGAGTCCGGTAAAATAATCTAGATTCCATTCGGGGTAGTTCTAACCCAGTTGTTTTTAAAGAGTGTAGGCCTATCGTAGTTGTTTATTGTGTGTTCTCGATGCCGTCTTCCCGTCTGAATCGCCGAAGACAAGATGCGTTTACCACACACGGAATCTGATCTCTGGGAGCGCGATTTCCTGACATGCTATTGCGTCGTTTTGCCGTGGGTGCTCGCCACTGCGTCATCCTGATGTAATTGCTTTTCTGTCTCCTACATCAATGGTATCATCTCGCCAAGAATAATTGACGATGATTAGGTAGCGCACATCAGTTTTCCAAATGTCATAATTTGTATGCAGCCAATTGTTCTCGCCTTGGCACAATGCAATTTGTTCAAAGGAGAGCGGAGTTTGTTCGCTTGATGAGTTGGTCCCGCACGTTCTTGCTTTTCATGACCCGGGTGTAAGGAGTTCCGATAGCAGAGCTGAGATTTTACTTGTTTCATTTTCAGTTGATTTCAAGCGACCGCGAGAGGCTCTGTTCGGCTTCTAGTGGTTTCACTTTTTAACAATGGAAGATGATGTGTGCATTTAACATGCCACCGTGAAACTCGCTTTGCGGAAATATGTCAGAAATATTCCTGTAACAGCCTCCTCGAAAATGCTAACTCACTGCGCCTACTTCAGGAACCAGGCTTGTCCAGTGGCCCTCAATCCGATGCTGCCGGATGAAATTGGGCCTGCTTTTGAACTTCGCAAAGGCCCGTTACCGTACCTTTTCTTTTCGATATTCCCAAATAAGCATGACAAGCAAATCAGGCAATAGAGGCCTTTAGAAAATTATGCATCAAATTAATTGGAAAGGGTCGACAAATTTCGCGCATTGTCATTGGCCAACGCATTGCAAACTCTTGGTGGCGCACTATTGTGAATCGCCCGTATTATGTGTATTGTCGACTGCAAAACGCAATTTGACGCAATGTAAATATGAACACTGTAATGTTGTCAAATGCCTTCTGGCTGAACTTAAGACATGCATCAAGATGTGCATGACGAGCAGAGACACGTGATAAACACGCTGCGCAATAATAACAAACCATAATGCTCATTAGCATAAATAAAAGTCCGTTACAAGCCGGTTACAAAGGAATGAGTATGCATACAAAATGAAATTAGAAATACAATAGTCGCTGCAGTTGTGCATGTTCTTCACTGTGAGAGCACGTGTCCGGGTCAACGAACTCTGTGTTGCCGTTTGTGCCTGCACTTAAAGAGACAGCCAGGTAATTATGTGTTTTTTCCCTGGAATGATTGTACATAACCGCAGAGGGTGTTTCCACCATGTCTGAGGGGAGACCTCATTCGAGCACCTTTACCCTCCTACGAGATAGTGAAAGACTAGCTTGCCCTGCGAATTTCTCTTTAAAGCAACACTATTATCACCAAAGCACTTTCTAGACTCTCTCTTGCAATTACATTGTACATAGTGATTACTAAGCATGTTTAACGTGTTGACGGATGCGTGGTGTTTAGCAAACGTAGACGCTTACGGATTGGACACTCGATGCTTCCATGCGGGCGTTTCACAATAGTGCGCCTCCAAGAGTCTACAACGCGTTGGCCAATCACAACGTGCGAAATCTGTGGACCCTTCCCAAACGTGCATTTGATCGACAGATTTCGCGCATTGTTATATGGCCAACGCGTTGCAAACTCTTTGAAACGGCCATATTCTATGTTTACAAACTCACTGCTAAACGCATTTTGGCAACAAATGGCAAAAGTTCACGAGGAAGTCTTCGTAGGATGTTGGCGCTTAAAGGGGCCGACGATTTGTTTAATGACCGTCCGAAAAACTGTGTTTGCGATGCATTTTAGGCGGAGGAAAACCGTGCGCGATTTGTCCCATGCGATTAATTCGGAGAAAGAGGCGGTTTACGTGCGTAGTTTGCACACCATAATAATTTAAAAAAAAATTTACTGCCCTTGTTTATGGAATAGTATAACCAGCGTGACGTCACACAGATTTTTCATTTTTGTACTCATAACCTGAAGAAAAACGGTGGTTCGGCCTCACGGGGAGGGGGTGTACAGTGTTATGGAACATGCGAACTGACGAACAGTGACTTCCCGGATTTACAAGCACACTAACAGCGCCCTCACTGATCTGGGAAAGCTTGGTCTATTTTGAATGTGCAAAAAGTCCTAGGATTAACGTTACTTCAAAAAGAGTTCCGAACAGTTTTCATTTGAAAAAGAGTTTAAACGTGTACAAAAGCGATGTTAGAACAGTGCATTGCATTTCATCGAAGAATTGTCCAACGAGGACTCTGAGGCTGAGGGTGACGTATCAAAACGAAGCATTCCGTGCTCCATTATGTCTCACACAGATGAAAAATAAATACACTGATTGAAGAAGTCGGACACTTCATTTTTTCCTTCAGCCTTGTCCATTGAAGCTTTCCAAAGATTTCAATCCGAGGAGTCTTAAGTGTTATCACTCACAGTAAAATGTGAGGAGATGACCTCTCATTAAAGTCTTTTTTTTTTGCTGTGTGTACGTGCGTGTGTTCTCCCATGTCATTAGATGACGAAAAAACGTTGCTGACCGTGGAAAACAACAGCTGTGCCGAAGATTTTACGCATGAAAATGTTCACATTTCATCTGTGTGGGCCTGTATTTCTATCTTGGGTGTTCTAGACTTGCGGCTCTTCTAAGCACGATTGTAAGAGAAACCTACACAGAAATATTTCCGTCGCCATGGCTACCAAGGCCAAAGAGACTGTCTTGATGATTCCGTTTCTCTATGTAGGCACGCAATGAAGATTAACCCCTTGCTGCTATATTTTCTGCATCAGAACGAAACGAATGCGCTAATTGCACGGAAATAAACCAGACAGAGTCCTTTTGTTATGCCTGGTGCCACAGAACTCCAAAGATGGCGTGCGTGTGCAGCCAGAATGAACATTTTCTCGCTGGATATGTAGGGAATAATTAATTTTGTATTTGCATATCGAAACTACTCACTAATAACTTGAAATTTCCCGACCGTGCAAAACTTTAAAGGGTCAACACTGCCACATACAGTAAACTTGTATGTTCAACTTGATGTTCATACGCTTAGATCTAGATGCCACCTTAGTCAAAATAACCCAGCATTTTGTGCTTAAAAGCCACTAGATATAACACCAGCACGTTCGACCCATGAAAGTGTGATTCGCAGGCGTTCGAAACGCGCTGCAGGCTCCAAAGCGTTCAACCTATGGACCCCAACCTTCCAAGTATATTTTACGCTCTGCTGGATTTTTTTTATATGAGCTGTAATCGATGTGGCGTTTTGGTCACACATGATACGGTCGTGTTTCTTTTCCCCAGATTTATGGGCGACCTGTGAGTATAAACGGGTGATACGGTGCCTTTTCTGCTGGTCGTGTTTTGTCGCTCGCGGTTCAAGGCGCCTCTCCATGGATGTGTTCCGTGTTAATTTAGTAGCCGTTTGTCGCGTTACACTCATACACAATAATTACCAAGACCCTTTTGGAACTAACAGGCCCAGGATCTGAATCGCGATCAGTGAGCCTAAAGCCGATTCACTTTTTTCATTAGGCGGGTTCTGGTGTCAGTAAACCAGCGTTGGATTACAGATCGTGATCCGGATCCACGTGAAACAAACTGGCTCTGTAATGGAGTTCAAAGTTCACCTCCATTCAGGGTCCCTCCTCCCGTAAATGCAGGTTCTACTCCTTGGTCCGTGGTGAAAATTCACTTTGATTCTTTTAGCTTAGGTCATTATTAATGTGTTGTTTTTCTTCACCCAACCCCGTTTTTCTTTTCATTTGCCCAATCGCAGCTGGGGTCTGATCTTCCGCCCAAGAGTGATGACGTCAGCGTGGAAGCCGCTCCCATCGCTGTGGTCAACCGACCGCGCAAACTCGGCGTCTGCCTCTGCGTGACCATGCTGCTGACGCTGCTTCTCATCGTCGGATTGGCTGTCGCCATGTTCCTTGGCCGCGCCTCTGGAAAGGTGGGTGTCGAATCAACCTCGTTCCCCTCGCAGAGACGGTCTTGCCGTGCCATGTTGGTTTCCACCATCATACCTCCGCGATTTTAACCCCCGGTATTGTGGAATTTAAATATCTCAATGTGGATGCGTTCGATTAGCTTCCACGAGTTGACCCAGGTTTAATCTCGTCCCCACCGTCTCGCTTGTCCCCTCCTTCCTCCATGGTTTGACATAGTACACATGGCCATCCCCAGGTCAGGTTTTCCCCATGTAAACTATTGGGAGATTTAAATTTGGCCTGCCGTCGATGTTACAACGCACGCACAATGCTTTTAATTGTGAAGTTTGATTTGTAAAATAAATAATTCTGCTGTTAACTTTAATTTATGATGTGAATACATCAGTCGATCCTCTTTTACAAGAGAAGCTTTGGGTGGTTGTGAGAAACGGTGCTTCCAGATGTTCGAAGCATTTCCAATCTTGAAAAATAATTTTCATTGAATGGATAAAAGGAATATTCCTGAGAGAATTTGGAATAATCAAAGTTTACGATGAAGATACTTGCAAGGTTGCTAACTATGAATGTTTGTGATGATTTTGCAGTATCAATATTGGTGTGGAGTTGGCTACGGAGACAATCCAGAGAAATATTACCAGGTAAGTAACCGATTAAAACCAAAAGAACCAAAACAAACACCCCAAACCAACACGTCCAAATCAAAACCCAAACCCCTAACCAGAAACAAAATCGAATCTCAACACCCCTTCGCCAGCACAACTGCCAATTGACACCAGCTCTTGCACATACTTAAGGTTTATGGGTTAGCGAAGGCATCTAATGGGAGACTTGGAAACGCATGGTGGCAGCAGCCTGCAAACCGGTCCTTTTCCGCGGGTTTGCGCGTGCCAGAACTAACGCGCATGCCTTGAGCTACACCCATGCCCATACAACCACAAAGGACCGTTGTGTCTGCCGCCACCAAGCGTCTCAAAGTCTCCCATTCACACTTAAACCAGTTTGGTCCAAGCGCTAGCCATCTTGGCCCTATACCAACTGTTGCCAACCTGCATCAGCCTAGGCCAAACAAAACCAAACTCAGGCTGCCCTTATCAATGTTTTGAACAATTTTACAAGATAAAGTAGTATTTGCGCCAACCTAAAAACCTCGTGTCATACAGCACCTCGATTCAGGTTCCCCTACTCACAATCAATCTTTCCCCCAGTCATGCAGTCAATGAATATAGTCTGGATCGTTCCATTTGTCTTGAAGGGAGGTAACGAGGGCAACGTGCTTGAGGAGGACATCGAAGTCAACCCGTTCGAAGGTTACGAGCAGATCGAAATACCCGAACAAGACTACTGCGAGAGACTGACTATTCTCCACGACTTCACTGTGGTATCTGCAGATTTTCCACTCTGAAACAGTTCCCTTAGCAAATACTTACAAGTGGTCTAAACTAAATTGCAAATGCCTTGTTTTCTTCAAAATGTTCACCTGTTGTCTCTCATTTACATAAAACTCAAACAGGAACACACTGTGGAATGTGAATCCCTACCCCGCGTGATCCACTCTCGACCATTCAGAAGTATGACATTGTTTCTTCTTTCCTGTTCCTTGGTAGAATCTGACCGCATACAGGCTCCGTCTTTCTAGCGTTTGCTACGTCACGGTTCTGGACAAAGGCATCGTGATGGGACCCGAAGAGTTCATTGAGCGTGCAGAGGAGGTAAATCCCCCCCCCCTTTCATAACGATGATTTTACGTGCACTTGGCGCTATAAATGCAAATGCGCGCGCCAGACGCGCGTAATAAGACATGCCACACGTCGTGGCATGCAATCGTGCATCTTTGGTGCATGCGTGGTCGGACTGTTGTCGACCGATTTGTGACTTTTAATCATAGAGCAAGGAAACCGCCTGCTATCAAAGCGGATCTTGCTGTGTTGGAAAATTCGATTTCGTCTCACTTTCAGCTTTTGATTCCGCGCTCTTTCTTGGGTTACGGGCCATAGACTCGTGTTCAAACTCTCTCATTGGTGTACAAAATCACGAATGTTTATCGTTGCAATGGAACGCTCCACCTCTCAGTGAATGAAACTTGTCTCTCCGCAAACAGAACCCGGAGTTTTTGTCCGACCACTACGATACCGTGCAGGAGACCTACCGCGCCGTGCTACCGGAAATCTCGTCCAGCGAAATGCACGGCGGCACCCTGGGCTACTACATTCCGCTGCTCTGCGACAGCGTGGAGTCCTACTGGATCGAGAAGATCCCGGCCGACGAGATGGAGGCCTGGCAGGCCTACTGGGATGAAGATGAAACAGAAGATGATGGAGACGATGATGATGATGGTGTCCCCGCGTTGCCAAATCCGGAGCATCGCCGCAGAAGGGGTAACACATTTGGAACTTTTGCTGGCAACTCAGACCCCAGCAATAGGGGGCGTTGTTGATGCAACGTCACATTGGGCGGAACATTACATTGTTACTCTTTAAAGGCAAAAGAGTGAAAAAGTCCCGATCAAAAAGAGTGGGTCCCTTATAAATCCACTTCAAAAAAGTGAAAATCACTCATAAAAGAGGAGCCGAAGAAAGGACAACTCTTTTTGAAATTACCCTTTAAATGTCTCCTTGGAGGAAATAGAAGGTTCCCTCTTTTGAGGGTGTTTTTTCCTCGTTTTTAGAGCGGTGGTCATTCTTCTGCAGTGTGTTTTGTGTTGGAGAGAGAATTTTTCGATCTTTGCATTAGAGAGTAGTTCTCAAGTGTTTGCATTGAAAACTCATTCAAATTGCAAGCAAAGGTTAATGTCCTTGCCGTTAGAAATGCCGCGGTGTGGAGGTGAATTGGGCGGAGTTGTATATAATATGCCGAAGGTTTATAACCAGTAAATGGGTCTAAATGCTTCCAGAATTAGGACTGAAGTGAAAACCGTTTGGGTTGGAGAAAATGATTTACCAGTTTTTGTGTTTTCTTCGTGCGTTTCAGCCGCTGAAGGTGCCTCCGACGTGGCCGTCATCCGTGAGTTTGCCGGGCGCAACGTGAGCAAGGTGAAGATCTTCGGCAAGGAGGCCGTGAAGGGCTTCAAGGCGGCCGTGGAGGGCGTCAAGGAAGCGTTCAAGAAAAACTAAGATGGTGTGGCGGGATCTCCACCCTGAGATTTTCTTGAATGACCATTGTTTGTGTTTGTGTTCTTAAACGATTTTGTTTACCACAAGTATTTATGCGGGGTTGTTTTGCATCCTGTTTTTGTTAGGCGATTGTTTGGCTAATTTTTTCAATTTGTTTTTTGGCAAGAAGGATTGTGAAGTTCACAACTATCAAAATATGGCAAATGTTCTTTTGTTGAGGGCCACACTGTGAAACGAAAGAAAACTGTTTCCTTCAAAACGTCGTCTGTAAGTTGAGTATGATTTCCATAGACTGGAATTTTACCTCCCTACTCTTACTGTATCACGTGATTTCCAAGCTTATTCTGGCTAGCAACAGCCAGCACTGGAATGGTCGGGTGTCTCATGTGCCTTGCCAGCCCATTGGGAGCCTTGTCTTGTTACGGACTCCTTTTACGAAAGTGAAGACACGTCTGACGTAAAATCACTTGATACAGCATTTTAGTCTGAAATTGAAGTTAAGTGGTAAACATCCAAACTGGTCACAACACGTTTAATCATTCGACTTTAACTCGACGGTTAGTGGCGAAGCTTGAAAGGTCAAACATACAAAGGTCAAATGCAAATAATGGGCCAACGCAGAATCCTTCACCTTTCCAGTCGGAAATTTACTGTATACTGTAATTTGACAACCAGAATTAGATGTCATCACTGCGGTGGCACAATTCACGCGCGCTCGTGGACAGGTGGTACGCTCGCGTTACATGCTTCTGCGACCTATCCAGTTCGTAATGTGAAGTCACGTCAGTTTAAACCACGCCCACTACACACGTTCACTACACATAGGGTTACATGCATTGATCGCCGTTAACATGGAACCATGGAGACGGAAGTTAACGCGCAGCTTCAGCGATCGTCCAATGAGTGCCTGCAAATCGTGGCGCGTCCCCCTTTGTGACGAAGGACACTTACGAACCGGATAGGGTGTTGTGATTTTCCAAATGCGCGCGCGTCAAGCTGAATAATGTGCGTGTGAGTGCGGTGCCACCGCAGTTATGGCGTCTGTATGGACTCGACTTGTAGGCCCATACAAGTTTACTTACGCGGAGTAAGAGGACCTATTTTTGCATGTAAAGATAGATTTCGTTGTGATTACCCAGAGGCACGAGCCACTGAGGCTTTCCTGCAATGCAGGCAAAGGAAATCAAACAATGATTCCAACGTATACACAGATTTTAAGTAACAAGTAAACTGGTAACATTGAACATTATTGGTACCCGATTGGGTTGTTGCTACATGCTTACAACTGTAGCCAGTGGGATCGAGATGATCAACGATTTTTTTTTCTCGTAGGCTATAGTTGTCCTGTTGGGATCGATTATGAAAAGTGAACTTTCGTGTTCAATTTCTGGACTTGATGTAAAGAGTTACTCGGACGATTTTCAAATGTTCTCACATAAATTTATTTTAACAGCACCCTTACATTTCTGTTGTTGATGCTGTACGTATCCATTTTTGTCATTTTTCATTGGAAATGGAAGTAATGATGTAGGCCCCACCTTTTTTCCCCCCCACGAAAGAGTTGCCCTGCGCATGCGTGGGTTAGTCATTGCGAATTAACCAAACTCTGCAATGCAATGGCGGCCAACCATAGCGGTCATTTCTAATGAAAGACATATAGATTATAGGAGATTTAGACTAATTTAGCACTCTTTTTTTGTGGGGAAACTATGATGCAAATAAAAGTAGTAACTAAGCATCAATGGAGTTGAAGGAAACAGCAATGCATGCCATGAATATGCAATTTCCAATGTAGAGGGCGCTCTAAAATTTGTACAATTCCCAGGCACGGACGTGTATAATAAAATCTGGACTCGCAATGCCCTAATCAGCCTATAGACGTCATTGAATCCACTCGCGGCCATTTTACCGAGCCGAATACAAAGCTTTCCTGGCAATGTCCGCCTTTGTTCTTCCTGACGTCGATAGAAAGGAGCCAACCCACGCTTTTTATTCGGCTCGGTAAAATGGCCGCTGGTTGGCTTCATTTTATTACAAAGGTGTTGCAAGTCCAGGTTTTTTTTATATACGTCCGTGTTCCCAGGAGCCTTTTAGATCCGCCATCTTTGATGCCAGACAGTCTCCTTTCGAGCTAGACTGGTCCCCGTCCCTATAGGGACCGGTAGCTAGCTGCACTTTAACGCGTGCGATTAGGCCTGCTAATGTGGATGCTGAATATTAAAATTGTTGTCAGGCCAATAGCAATGCTTTGGCATGACTTGCGTTTCAGCGGTAAGGCGAATAATACACAAGTACGGTGTGGTAATTTATTTTTTTCAATGAATATCATCGATAAATTATTTACGGCACTTTATTTCAAATCAGTGGTTATTTGGTTAAATTTTAGACTTTGTGGGGAAATGATATTTTCGGTAACGAAAATGAAAAAGCAAACTCGACTCCTTCCTTATTTGCATAATACCGGGAGGATTCTGCCGGATTCATTACCCGCTACCGGTCCCTAGGTTTGGAGACTACGTTGGAGACGAGAACCAGTCTATTTTTTAGCTTTCTAGAGTAACATGATGTACTATGACTCCTCATTAATATACACTGTGTACATATTGTTCTGCTATGACCAGTAAATATAGAAATATAATAGTTTAATAGAAAAAAAATAGTTGTGTAAGATAAAAGTATTTACTGTACCGACGTTCCCGTGATTTAAAGAATGGAAACAATATTTAAAGTGTATTTCCCAGTTCTTAATTTTGTGTATACATTCTCGAGCTCAAAGCTCTGAAAAGAGCGATTGGTTGCAGTCGGTATTGTCGTATAGAAAGTGTTCATAATTATTATAGAATAAAGGTGCTGCACGTTTGTTGGGCGCGTTGCGTACACAATGCGTTCCACTTTCACCTAGACACAGAAATCGAACCATACCACACGTGTGCGTTGCGTTCGGGCGTCGTTCGCATGGTGAGCGATTCTGACGGAGAGGCCTACTCAACGCTTGGCGCAAGTGCTGACATGCATATGGGAAGGCCCCTTAATATAATGTATGCACAAGCTGAAATGTGTAGATCCAAACTACTTGAAAGTTGGCCAACAAGTCACTGGTTAAAGGCCTCTTTAAAGTTTATCTAAGTGTCCATCTCGTCCATGTCTGCATAATGCTGTAATTCTAACTTCAAATCTATTTGCAACTTCAAAACCGACCGTTTTTTTTAATCCAGAGGACCAAGATGATGAAAGATTGTGAGGCGTCAATTTCATAACTAACCTAGCTGAGAAAATTTAGAAATGAAGAACATTTTTTCATTGCTTTTTTTCTGCGAGTGTAAATTGCTTATCGCCGTTGTTTTCCAAATGCGTGTGGAAATGAAGCATTGACCGCGCTCTATCGAGTTAATCGCATAAAAAGACGTCATTCCTGACTAGAAACTCTGTGTACCTGCGCCGCATGTGGTTTTGTACCGTAATGGTCAATGAAATCCAAGCATTTGTAGTTGACCGCATACAGATTCTTTCAAGTACATTTTGTAATTCCCTGCCCCCTCTCCCTTGATCATATAGTAAATTCGACCCCCCCCTTCAGAAAACCCCGGCCATCACTTTGGAGCGACCCGTATTCTTTCGTACGAACCGATCTGATGATCTCTTTTCCCGTGCGACCGTCCCAACCCAGGCCGCATGTGTCTTTTCGCTATTATTTAGCGCAAAGCGAGGATAACTTTCCCTGCCCCTCAAAAACTGACAGAAGAACGCCCTTTAGGAGAGCACTTTTAGTATTTTGTACACCTGTAAGTACTTGAATTTATACTTCACATTAAAAGAGAAAGTGTTCGTCCCACACACGGTTGTGATAAAGCGTTCTCGTTTTTTTTTGGCGTGCTTGTGTGCAGTGGCTTAAATCTGTGTTGGGAATTAGGGGGATGGGGAAAGTGGGTTGAATTGCCTGGGCGTGGAAATTTGAAAGGGGGGGGCTACACCATATACTCTATATAGGGGGCGATGTCCACGATAAAGATGTACATCTTTAATGTGTATCAAATTTATGTAGAATTTCACATCAGAATATGGCATGTTTATGGATTTATATAATAAAATTGTTTCCCATTTGTGATTTTGCAAATATGTTAGTCGTTAGGAAATCCTAAAATTCTCTGCCGTCCATTTAACTTTTTTTGCTCAGTACAAATAAATGGGAGTTGATCATTAGCCTATCCCCCACCTGATAAAAGTGAGTGTGTGGGGGGGTATACATGTATACCCCCATCCCCTGGGATCTCCGCCCATGTTGGTGTGTCGCGTTCCTAATCGTTCCTAATGCGCGTTCCTAATCTAGTAAAATGATTGGAAGTATGCGAGTATGCTCCTGTTAAAAGTCTCTTCTGTCGGAGCATTTCGTGGCACGTGAACTGAACAATTTACAGATAAAAATAAGGGTGGAATCTATCAATATGACCGCATGCAAGGACGAAAGTCGAGCCAAATCTGCGGTTAGGTTCTCAGAGGTGAAAAAAATCGATGCCGTTAATTTGGGATTGCGCCCTCTCCTGCTTAACGGTCACGGTTGTTTTCTTTTAGAAGATTAAAGGCAATGAGGATAACGTACAGTTCGTGGTTATCAGATCTATGTCCACAAATATTTTTCCTTTTTTTCTTTCTAGTTCTTTTTTACTTGAAACTAATCAGATAAGAAGTGGATATCACACATATAATTCTGAGATATAACAGCGAAGAAGATCGGCGGATAGGAAGCGAACTCATGAACACAAGCCCTGACACCAAATGCGCGTTCCTAATCTAGTAAAATGATTGGAATTGCAACATTCATGCAGTAACTGAAAGCTCAGCGATCAGCGGTTATTTTACGGGATAAACTTCATGAGAAACGATGATGGAATTGTGCGCTCTTCCGACCAAAGTTACGAACCGTTAACGATGTTCCGGAGTTAAGTGATTGGTGAGTACATGAGTGAGACCAAAATCCTTCCTTTTTAGTATTTTTGTGTGAAAGTTATTGTTAGTTGTTAACATTACGCCATGAGTCGTTCATTCGTCGTCGTCGGGATAGTGTCGGGGGCTTAGGCTATACGCGATCAGGTGATGGATGATGGCATCGGCAAATATACATGTAAATGGGGACTTCTGTTGACATAATTCAATAATTGCTGACGATGGTGTTATGGAGGTGGGGCAGTCCACTTCGAGTACTAATACATGCAGTAATGGCAGTGAAAATCCCTACTTTGTCTGCCTGTCAAGTGCATTGTTAGCATGTTTACTAGACTGTACTATTAGTGTACATGTACATGCACATAGGCCTACACCTAACATGTACACGTGTTGTATATTTTGAATCTGCCTGAATACATTAATAATAAGAATAATATTAATCTGTGTCCTGTATGCATGTACAACCTGGCCCACAGGCCTAGCGTGATAACAAATTTACATGTATCTTTTAGCAAACCTTACTCACAGTAATGTGCATTGAAACACGTGTGACGATCAGCGTGGGCAAACACGCCACTTTTGAATTTACAGTCATGCAGATGTGGGACATTTTTGTGTAAAGATATTGCAGTGCGTTGAGTTAGAATAGCACTTTACGCAAAGTTTGACGTAAACTGTGCAACACAGTTATAATATGTCACACTGTTTGTTGCCATGGATCGACCAATCAGAATTGAGAACTCAAGTTTGCCTGAAAATAAGTATGCATGGTTCGTACAGACATCACTAATTTTTCAGTAATGGTACCGCTCTATTTCCGTCTGACATGACATGTCAAGTGAGTGATAACATGTCTGTAAGACTGTTAAGAGCCAAAGTTAGCAGGGAAAATTTTGAATTTGAAGCATTTACTTTAAACATAATGTAGAAAATGAATGTACCTACGTAGGGCCTACAGTAACTTAAAAGGGTTTGTGCACAGGGTGTCAAGTGGCGTCCAGTTATGGAAACTCTTTCCTCATCTTTATCTTTCGACCAAGTTGCTGGCTGCCAGAAGTTTGCCTGACAAGGCTAAAAAAGTTGCTAAACCTCTACTTTGTTTGTGTGAAATGGAGCCTCTATTGGAATGATTGTGTGGGTCGTGTCAAAGTGTAATTTTGATGATCCAAAATTTGTGGCCAAGACAAGTTGGGGGTCGATGTGGGTGGCCATTTGTAAACTTTCATTCTTGGCAGAAGACAGACTGCCATTTTATTTGGCTTTTTCTTCAAACTTGACAGAAAGTGTATTCTAGCATTCACTCAGGTAGGCATGGTAGGCCTACAAATATATATGTTTGTGATCCATTCTTGAATCTTGTTGAGGGTGACCTTGGATTTTATTGACAGGTTTTTTTTTGTAACACACATATCAATCAAGTCACCTGATTTTCAAGCTGTCGCACGTGCTAAAAACGATTGAATAAATGTGCTTTTAGCACGACTTTCGTGGGTGATGTATAATTTGACTTCTTTGTCTTTACACGAAGGGCAGATCCACGGACCGACGGGCCATGGCCCCCAGGCCCTCCCCCAAAAAAATTTTTAATGAGAAAATGAGATAAATCTTTTTTTTTCTTTTTTTTGGGGGGGGCCCTGTGTTTTACATGTACTATCGGTATGTATACATGTCTTCCCAAAGTGTGTAAAAAGCCCTAAAATGTACTGATAGCCTCCTCCCCCAGAAAGAAAGGCCACAAAACTCACATGAAAAGTTTAAAACTTTTCAGTGCCCCCATGACAAGTTGGCCTCCCCCCCCATGGTTCTAGAGCTCTGGAGTCTAAAAGAGACATTATGGTAGGGCGATAAATATTTTAATCCTAACCTTCGTCAGCAACTTTCATTAGTTTGAGACTGTTCCTTTGAACTGTTCCTTCTCTGATCATGTTTTGTGATGATCTGAAACTCCAGGACACGCACACTGTTTGTTGAGTCAGTGGTTTTTTTCCTTCCCGGGAGACCCATTCTCTGGAAATGTGTCAAGTGTCCAGTCACAACATGTCGACGTTAATTGATGAAGCAGTCACAAACATGTACACAGTGAGCATTCCATTTAAAAAAAGATTAACATGCTCAGTGTGCACATGGCAAACGTGTACAGATGTACTGAAAGATTGGTCTGGCATTATGCAGCGCATACACTGTTATGTTACGTACCATTGCACATGCTCCTGGGGTCTCTCTGGGCCCCCCATGTACCTACTTTTACAATCTGAGCAGGTCAGAGGGGGACTGTCCCCGATGATATATAGACCATTAACATGTCAGCTCGGGGCAACTTGCGAAAGCATCATTTATTTACAATGCCTGTCTTTTCCCCTTTGCGGATTCTGTAAATAAATCAGGACCTGGCGGGAATCAAGACCCTTATTTCCTGAATTAAATGGCCGGGTTGCATTATAATGAGGTGAAGCACCCTACATGTACATGTAGGTCTGTAAATGTACGGCCCATGGCTTGCATGAATGCTGAATCTGCACCTCATGAATTGTACATGTATTAAACTACACGTATACAAGTAGCTTTCAAGTCTCAACTCGTGAAGATCCATGGTTTTTAAGAGGAGCACAGGTGAACTAAAATCCTGTCTGTGTTGGTTTGTGTGTCTGGTGTGATCGATGACTGGACTGATCCTTGTCCCTGTTACATGTATTGGGACTGGTAGTCAGCTGGCTTCTGGGGTCCGTGGTTGGTTTAGTTCTGTACGTGTGCAGTTGCTTTTTCTAAAATAGAGATGATTTTTACAGTGTACAACTTTTCCTGTGCGTGACAGCCGAACACATGGCTCTGGGGAAAACTCCAGAAATGTTTTTTCCCCTGTAGATATGGAAGTGGTCACCCCTAAAGAGCAGGTGAATACGTCTTAACATCGTATTGCGTGCGGAAATGATTCAGCAGAGAGAGTGTTAATCAATTCTAGAAAGTCTTTCAAAGTTTTGTCTTGTGATAGTGTTGCATTGTGGGAATGTTACATGTACATGTACTTGCCAATTTCCTCATTAACCCCAACAGTCCTCAGTCCTCCAACAGGTGAAGGATTGAGGACTGTTAGGGTTAACATAAACCGGCAGGATTCGTCTAGAATCATTACCCGCTACTGGTCCCTACATTCGGAGGGCATCTGTAAGATGTCTGGAGACTACATGTACATACGGGATGGGAACCAGTCTAGATTGGTGATTTGCAGCATTTTCTATAATTTTGGAATGTGGCTCAGCAGTCACTAATCACGGTTGCCGACATGAAAACAGTTCTAGGAACAAAAAGTGCAACTACTTCGTAATTGTTCAAAACAAATCCTGCCCCCCATCAGTCTTTGACCCCATTCCACTGTTGATGGGTCGTCAGTTTGCTGTTGATGAATGCTACCCCCCCCCCCGAATATCATGGCCAATGCCATGCCCTCCCCTCACTTTGCAAGTTCAGTCTTCAGTCAGGTTCAACAACCTTGCCATGCGGTACACATCACACAGCAGTTGAGTTATGAATGGTTGCTGTGAATCGACCAATCGATTAACCTCTCAGTTCGCGACCGGGTGCCGGTGAGGTATTCCTCACTTCCTGGACCCGCTCGGCCGTCTCCCTTCCACAACAATGCAGGGAACGGTAGCCAACGCACTGGAAAGATCACAGGAAAGGATTGGGTATGCGGAGGTGGATGATGCATATGCACCATGCACAAAAATACTAATGGTTCCTTTCGGTAAATGAAGTTACTGGCATCAGTATCGGTACGTCAGGGTCTCGTTTCACTGTGTCCTGGCTTCGTTCAGCCAGTTGTCACGGTTGTGTGCCTAAAAGATTGTCTCTAGCAGACCGCCCCACGAGTGTGGTCCACTAGTCTTCTGAAGTCAATGCAAGCTGAAAGGTAGACCAGATGTCTTTCTATAAATTGCATGTATACACATGTAAATATTTTAGGTGTGAATTACATGTACTGCCTGCATTGCGACAGAAAGGAATCGTTCGATGTACGGTTCACTGGACTTCTCTTAAACTGTAGATCATTTCTTCTCTAGCCGTAAGGATGCCATTCTTCGGGCAGAAGCCTGACTTCGGACTTTCGTTTGAAATGTTGGGCTAATTCCAGGCCTCAAACAAGGCACATGTACAGTACAATTCATCTGTACATGTATGCACATGTGCCGGTATATCTAGGCTTCTCCGGCCTCCTTTTTGGGCTCTGGACACAAACTCGACCGGCATCCCTTGTTCTACCTGTAGTTTTAAATTCGGAAACAGTGCTGTGCATGTATGATTGAGGTACAGAATGTGTCAGGCTTACACACGTCGAGTATTCATGCATAGTTTCAGTTTCCAAAAGGCACCGTCAACAGTTCCAGCACGGACTGCACGCAAGTGCTGGCTGGTAGTCCAGATGAGCTTCTTTAGATCTTCAAGCATTACGGACCTAACGATGCACGTTTCACATCTGAGTAACCCACCCAGATTCGGAGGTCATCATTTTTTTCCCCTTGCCATTTTCAAGAGTATGCTAGAGTCCATCATTTTTACAGACCCTCTCACTCCTAGAGTAAACAAACCGAGAAGGAACCTAGATACAGGGGTATCTGTGCGCCAGATTCTCTGCGAGGTATTATCCTAATTTTTCATATTTTTCAAAAGCGTACCTTAATTAACATGGCATCTGTCCTTTCCCTGATGTATGGTGTTCACATTCATGAAAATGATGTTCAGAAAATGGATGACCCTGCATTTGTTACATATTTAGGTACAAAAATTTAAAAGCCAAGCACGTTCAGCTGTGCACATACCAGATAACATTTTCCTTTCATTCTCCAGTGAAAGTCTGTCAGCGAGCCAACAACTGTCGATCGGCGTGTTTGGACGGCAGGGAGAGCGGCAATCTTAGGCCCACCCCGGGACCAGCTCGTCAGAAAACCATGAGCGCCGCCCGGCAGCGCCACCACCACCACCAGCGGCCGGAGATCCTGTGCCGGACCTGTGGCCAGGTGCACGAGGCCCAGGGCAACCACCTGTACGACTACTGCGAGAGCGTTGACGAGGAGCTGACCTGCCACATCTGCCTGCAGCCGCTGGTCTCGCCCACCGACACGATCTGCGGCCACACCTTCTGCGCCCGCTGCATCCGCAGCACCGTCCGCCTGCACAAGATGTGCCCCGTGGACCGCAAGCCCCTGACCAGCCAGGACTGCCGGCCGTCCAGTTTCATCATCAAGAGGTGGGTGGGGTAATATTTGTTTGGGGGGGGGATGCAGGCAGTGATACCGGTGCAGCATTTGACAGTCACAAAAAGGACACTTTTGTCCTCGATGAAAGTTGCGAATTGTCCTTATTCTGAAAACTGTCTCGGAACATCACTACACTTTAGGCTGTTTTCTTGGAATACGGGCGTTTTCACAAAAGTGCACCTCCAAGAGTTTGCGACGCGTTGGCCAATCACAGTGCGCGCATGGAAAGTCGACCCATTGCGCATTTGGAAAGGGTCGACAAATTTCGCGCATTGTCATTGGCCAATGCGTTGCAAACTCTTGGAAGCTCACTGTTGCGAATCGCCCGTATTGAGTGATTTTTTTTTTTTCAGACCCATTTGTCCTTCCAAAAGTGCACTTTTGTCAGTTTTTTGTGTGATGTTTGAGAGAACTTGCTACATGTATGTAATCAGTGAATAACGGACCGTAATCTTTGGTCTTGGTACACTATTTTGCCTCTCGAAAATGCCTTTCATGTGAAGATTTTTAAACCACAGAGACCTCATACCTTCATGAATGGGTGCACATGTACCGTACCATTCTCACGAACGACACACCCTTCCTCCTGAAATTGAATCCTCCTGCGTTTGAGCACTAGGACAAGTTGTAAACATTTCCGTCCAAACAACATCTTGGTTGGATTTGTCAAAACAGCATTCCCTGCAGTTGACAAACCTGTGTGCTTACCAGAACATAGTGGTTGCAATCTGGTCAGATGAGTCTACCCGGTAGATCCTGCCCCATATAATTCTCCAATCGCAGGATGTGGCTAAAACCGAATAACCTTTCCGTTGCTAAAAACGCCATCACCAATTGTGACTTGACCGACTTGACAAGGATGTGGTGTATCATAACGCAGGGATCATTCGGAGGTCGCTGAGGAGACTACTGTAAGTCAACATTTGACTGTTCATGCACTTAAATTACAGAACACGAAAACAAACAGAACTGTTTCCCCCCCCCCACAGTCAGATTTTGGGGAGGACTTGCCATGGGCTCAACATTTCTGGACTTGGGTTTCCCCTTCAGGACTGGTATATTTTGGCAAACAAGATAAGAGGTGTATATCTGTACAGAGAGACGAGCAGTGTGATCAATCAGTACTGACAGAGAGGTAGTTTTGAAAGCGTCAGTTTTACACATTATGCATTCAGCGCTCAGACCCAGTACATTGTATATATATACCGCACTTTATGTAGCATCAGGACAATTGGATGGCTTTAGTCAACGAGGGAAAACAATCCACGATGGTAATGCGCCAGACCAGAGTCCTTGTTTTGTTAAGGACACCAGGGATGCATTGAGTACAGTCCATCATGTTTTGGAATGAGTCATCTGGCCTTGTGGGAGGTTGTTAGATGGGATTTGGACAAGGCTGGCTGGTCAATTTTACATAAATGCTTGTCGCCGAGTGATGGTGGCCCTACCTGTTTTGAGAGAGATGCCCCATGTGAGGGATTTGTTCTGTTCCTTGGCCGTCTAAGCAGTAGGCCAGTGCAGTGATTGAAGTGCTCTCCGCTGTTCACTCTGTTTGTGTAGCAAGGAGCAGTGGCCTGGGATTTTTCTAGTTCTCCTGCGTGCCGTCAGCCTCTTCACAAGGCTCCGTTAACCATGACTTTCCCCACATCCTTCCAAATCTACCAGGAGGCATTTCGAAGGTTTTGTAGTCCTGAACAGATCAACAAAAATAGCTCAGCTACCTGTGCATGAATGTGTTCATATGGAGCTTGCGATAACTTACATGTACATAACTACATGTACCGGGTAAATGTGGGCTGGGAAATTTGAAACAGCGGCCAAATATTTACCCGATTGCACATTCATACAGCCAAGTACTCATTAAATGCAACATAAAGTATTTTAAAAAAAGTGTCATCCTTGTAGAGGATTGTAGTCATAGTTTGTACATTAAATTGACATTTTTGTGACAGTGGCGACTCATAGTTGAACCCTCCCATCACCACCTTACACCCATGGTCAGGCTTTAAGCTCCAAGAGGAATGCACTAACATACATGTACCGTATTTGGTACCCGAAGGAGAGGATTTTTTTGGGAGGATGGAAAAAAGTCTCTTTACTGCAGAAACCATCGGTACCTTGGAGGCGTAGAGTTGGCATGGTAACCCACAGCATGATTGATTGAGATGGATTGATCCACTAGCTGTGAAAATAAGGAACCTCGTTGTGAACACCAGGGGCGAATTTCACAGAGTTGCTTGAGCACAGAATTTGCTTAAGCACGAAAGAACCTTGGTTAATAAACAAAGGTTTAACCAGCTCAAACTGTTGTTATTTTCTTGCTAACCAAAAGACAGGTAAATGCCATTCCAAAACAATACATCACTAGACGTTTTGGCTGGTAAGCTTTGTCAAGCAAGGTTTTTCATGCTTAAACAAATTTTTCCCTTGAAAGCAGCGCTATGAAATTGGCCCATGGATGCATTCTCCTGTTATGTATTGAGGCACACACGCACTGTGCATAATCGTTCAGGCTGTTTAACGGTTGTTCCTGAACAAATGACAAAATTCATTTGGACATGATGGGTCAGGGAGGGGTCGTGGTACGGCATTTGCTTTGCCAGAGGGCTGCGTAGACGGTGACGAATGCAGGAACTTGAATCGCTCGTCGTTTCAGTAAATCCCCGGCCAAAAGGTTAGGTACCAAGGTGTGCTTACAATGTACAAGGTGTCAGTACGGTAGTTCTCAGATTCAAGAAAGAGTTGGAGGGATAAAATCTGTCTTCATGGATGCTGTGAGTTGAGTGCAAGGAAGTAAAAATGTTCGTACCATGCAATTTCTGTATTTTGACCATGTTGACAGGAAGTACATGCACAGACTTACATACATGTGTGGAAGGATCGTGTGAAAGAGATGAAAATTGAAATTATCATTTTAGGCATTTCCTAAGTACATGCCCTGCTACATGACTTTTAAAATTTTTACTTAATTTCTGTCAAGCGCTCAGCCTACATTCCGCTAGGTTACCGGTATATACACGTAGGGTGCATATTTTCTATTTTCTAACATTGAGTTAATCTACATTACTGTACGAGTGTATGGGTCATTCTATCAATTTGGGGTCCCACAGTGTGACAGTTTTGTATCCCAGTTACACCTGACCCGTGTAAGTCCACAGGGGATACCGATGACGTTAATTTCAAACTATTTCTATTTGTTTGGTAGTTTCATTTCCATTATTTAGTCATTCACTTTGGAAATACAGTGTACCAGTAAGACTGAGAGAATGTGTTCTGAACTTACAAAATCATGTCTGTCATATGTGACAGGGTCACCCCCCAAAATTGGACCCCCCCCGTTTGTTACGTGCCAGTGCGCATTACCTGTATGCACCTCAGGGCCGTTTTCCAATATTCAACTTTGGTTCCTTCTCAGGCGTCATCTGTTTTTTTACTAGCTGACTTTGAAGCTGTAAGTGCAGTAATCAGTCTAATAATGCCACAGAACATCAAGATGCAAGAAAGCCAAAAATTACAGTCATCCAATGCAGTTTAATCACTTCAGGCCCACAATCGGGGGTTGGTTTTGGGAACGAAGCCTGAGACGGAGACGAAGTTGAGTACTTGAAAACAGCCCAGGCCTACATGTACATGTGCACATTTGTGAAGCACTGAAATGTACATGTACACTGTACCTGGTGCCATTACAGCATTTGTGTACACAGGCATGGTGCCTGTCACCAGTCACCTTTGTTATTTGCTTGGTTCCATTCATTGTGGACATGGTGATTTCCTCTCAAAGAATTTTGCATGTACTGTACGCGTACCATTAAATCACATTCCATCATGCATTATGTGTGAGCCCGGCCAATTGTGAACTGCATGATCGTACGTTATCCCCGTGAAATCCCACAACAGTAGAATGACACTGAGAAATCACCGGCGCTTGTGTGCGACGTGCTCAATCCAACCCGCAGGAGATTTTTGTCACTTTCTGCTTCGGCACCTTACATGAAAGCCACCAGCCAGTGCCTAGAGACTACACGGTGCGTTAACAGCATTGTCACGTTTGCTCAAGGCAACCCATTGTCGGTTTGTGTGGCATGACGGTCAAACGAAAATAAAAACACCCATCTGAAGGGAGAATTTGGGGTTGACAGCGGGGCATAAAGAGATGATCATAAAGCGATTATGTCATGGTCCTTCTGTTCTATTTCTTGGCACATGGTACCCTGTACATGTATGTGATTGGGGCTACAGTCTTCTTGTGGTGGGTACATGTACAGTAGTTGTACAGGTCTTCACCAGTAGACCCCTCAAGATTGTGTTACTTTACACCGTTTGTAATGGGTACAGTTACCGTTAGCTACATGTATTGTTTGCTGAAATACATGTATGTTCCTTGGTTGGCAGTGTCTCACCGAGCCAGCCGCCCGCCCGCCCCGAGACCAGGCGAAAGCAAAGCAGGACAGGCGGTTTTTGCTTGCCCAAAATGTGAAGAAAGGCAACTTGATTACATAAATCTTGAACACTGATGGACAGGCCTTCATACACAGTACTTCGTATTTCCTTGTAAAATACTTGGTGCCGTGGAAAGGGGGCCCTTGTAAAATACTTGGTGCCGTGGAAAGGGGGCCTCTGAATACATACATGTATGTGCATACATGTAGCAAGTAGAGGAGTGCCAGTCTCCATTGTTTCCATGGGAGATGACAAGCAATGTTTGACCTTGGCTTGGCAGGAATGGGCAGATATATCCTGCATTTCAATTATCCTTATTGAAACTGCATTGGGTGGTGTCTGGTTTTGCCTCAAAATGCCTTGTTATTCTCACATGCAAAGGGACCTGTACTTATCCATTCCATTCAGGGTAATTCCAGAAATTAGGGGTCCATTTTTTTTCGTGTCCCTGTCACATCTGACATGTGATTTTTGTAAGTTCAGAATGCATTTTCTTATTTCCAAAAGTGATGAATTAGTGCAAATTACCTGCCAGACAAATAGTAATAGT